TGTGCTTGTGAGTCTGTGTTAGTACAAAAAAAGAAAATGGCTGAACATTAGCAGTGATATAGTGAACACCAGAGTTTTCTCTTTGTGGTAGTCCTTCCCTTACCAAAGAGCCTAGTAAAATAAACTCATAATCCATAGGAATCTTTGCAAAATGTGGAATCAGAAAAGATGGTATTTATATGAAAGGCAATTTAGTTATTTAGTTGCCTTTAGTTTTTATTCAGTTGTGTTATGAAAAAATGTGTTGTGTGTGTGGTAGCTCAACGCTGACATTGGGTGTCTTTCTTGATTGCTGTCCACCTTATATAGAGAGGCACATTCTCTCACGTGAACACAGAGCTTTCCAATTCAACTAGTCTGGCTAGCCAGATTCCTTCAGAGCTTCCATCCCCACCTCCCCCACGCTGGGATTACTGGTGACTGTCACACCCTGTTGAGCATCTGAACTCCAGTCCTCAAGGCTTCTACAACAAATATTCTGCCCACTGACTCATCTCTCCAGCCTCCCAAAATTACATAAAAAATTGCACCTATAAATTAATTTTTAGGGATGTTACGGATATTCTATTTATAAAAAACCCCAACACTTTGAAGTGCTGAAAATGGTGACTCATATTAAATAGGAGTCCAGTAACTTAGCTATTGTTATTATTTAACAATAGAAGCAATAGAAGATATGGAAAGTATTCCCGCTTTGGTTTTAGTTGATAATATTTCTTTTTAAAGCAACAACTGGGAAACATGATTCAACCCAATTCATGTGATAGCAAATATTCAAAATTGGGAATTATCTAGAAAAACTGGAGCATATGGTGTGGTAGTTAATCTTGGTTGTCATTGTGATTGGATCTGGCTGGAATCAACTGTAAAGGTCTGTATTTCCTGGAAGGATTAACCTAGATGGGAAAGCCTCCCCTAAGACACGCCCCCTCAGTGAGTGGCATGCAGATATAAGGAGGCCCTAGCAAAAAGTTGCTTCTCTCATGCCTGACTTTGCCACTTGCTGTTGCTGCCACAGTGCTACTGTTCTCTATTGACATCAGAGCTCAGCTCCTTCACCTTTCCAATGTGAACTAAAGAACAGCACCTCTCCAGGAATCCAGCCACAGATTGCCATAGCTGAGGCTTTCAGCCTCAAGAACAGCCACTACAGAGCTTACAACCTCTCCAGCGTATAGACAACCTTTGCTGACTACCCAAACTACCCAGCAGGTGCTGTGCAAGTCAATCCCCTTTGTAATATATATTCATTCTATTGGTTCTGTTCCTCTAGGGAACCCTGGTTAAATTTGACATATATTGACTACTGATCTTTATTTTAAAACATTTTAAATTAGATTTACTCATTTTACTTGTAGGTGAGTGTTTTACCTGCATGTATGTCTATGCACCAACGTGTATGCTTGGTGCCTGAGGAGGGCAGAAGAAGGCATCAGATCCCCTGGAACTGGAGTTACAGATGATTGATTGTGAACTATCATGTGGGTGTTGGGAATCAGATCCGGGTCCTCTCTGCAAGGGCAATAAATGCTCTTAACCACTGAACTATCTCTCCAGCTTATAGTTACTATAAACACAGTACACTTGTTCTTACTCAAGTACAGCATGTCTTTTCTGTGAATTCTTGCTACTGAGACTATTCCTTTAGTCACTTCCCTCCTCCCCTGTCCCCATTTTATGTGTTTACTTGAGATGGGGTATCATGCAGCCTATGCAGGCCTTGAACTTGCTATGTAGCAGAGATTGGCCTAGAACACTTGATCTTGCCTTACCTCCCAAGTACTGGGATTACAGGTATGACTTCAGTTACTTTTAAGTGATTGATCTTTAAATTCTCAGTATAGCAATTTTTATCAAATATGATCTGAGCTGAGAACTTTGACCTGGAACTTTTTTGCTTATTTTTTTTTTTTTTTATTTTATCTCAATGAGGTCTTTCTTTCTTTATTTATTTATTTGAGACAAGGTCTCTCTATGTAGTTGTGACTATCCTAGATCAGGCTATGTAGATCAGTCTAGCCTTAAACTCACAAAGATCCACCCACCTCTGCTTCCCCAGCGCTGGGATTAATGGCATGTGCCATCATGCCCAACTTTCTCCCTGAGTTTGAAAATTTTATGTTTCATTGGTGGTGAATATAGTCAGTTAACTAGACAGTCATTTTCTCCCTCCCTCTTTCCCTTTCTTTCTTGCAGCTCATGTTCTTGTGAAATCTCCTTACGTTGCCCAGGCTGGTCTTCCTCATGTAGCTAGGATTATAGTCCTACATCACCAGGCCCACTTACAATTTTATTTATAATCATGTGCATTTTAGATTTTTGAGAACCTTCTGGGGAATACTTGGGTTTTTAGCATCAACAATTTGCATCTTGGGAATACTTTCTTCTACAAATGTTTAAAAAGTGGTATTTTACCTTACTTTAGAGGAAATGAGTTTCTTTTGTCTTCCCTCCAAATCAAGTGATGTCATATTTGGGTTCTGTATCTTTTCATGGACTTACTTTAGTCAATATTTTTACTACATGTAAGTGATATAAGTCAATGATTTTCTTTCCAACACTATTGGGCAATAATTTATAGAAACTGAAATTTTATGTATTTAAAGTAGCCCCTTTAGTGTTAGTATTTGCATATATCCATGAAAACCATCATTATTGGTGCTGGAGAGATGGCTCAGTAGTTAAGAACATTGGTTGCTCTTCCAGAAGTCCTGAGTTCAATTCCCAGTACCCACATGGCAACTTACAACTGTCTGTAACTCCAATTCCAGGAGTTTTGACACTTTACACAGATACACATGCAGGCAAAATACCAATGAACATAAAATAAAATAATTAAATAATTAAAAAGAAAAAGAAACCCATCATTATTATCAATAAAAAGAATGTTTTGCTGGGTGGTGGTGGCACCTGCCTTTAGTCCCACCACTCAGGAGGCAGAGGCAGGCCGATCTCTGTGAGTTTGAGACCAGCCCAGCCTGGTCTACAAAAGTTAGTTCCAGGACAGCCTCTAAAGCCACAGACCAAAAAAAAAAAAAAAAAAAAAAAAAAAAAAAAGGAAAGGAATGTTTCCATGACCCCCCAAAAGATTTTCATTGTCTTGTTGCAGTCCATTCTCCATCTCTGGCCCAGCCAATTACTGACTTTTTTTTTTTTTTTTTTTTTTTTTTTTTTTGTTATTATAGGCTTGACATCACAGAAATAAAGCCCTATCCTATATATTTTCTTTCTGGTTTCTTCAGTTCAGCATTATGGTTTTGAGGTTTATCTATTGTAGGGAGCAAGTGAAGTCCCGAGTGAATGTGTATTTTTTAACATGGGGTTGGCCATGTCAAGGACCCAAATGCCTCAGTCCTGTGGAGGTGGCAAAGCCTTCCCCAGGTCAGACTCAAAGGGAAAGCAAAACCTTCCTGTGGACCATTTACAGTGTTGATAGTGTGTGTTGAAGATGTCACCACAGCTTTCTATCTCCTCCCTCATGTTTGCTGCCCGAATATGGTCTTCCTATAGAGACTGCTCTCCTACTGCGACTCCCTAAACCCTTCTCCTTCAGCTATAGGCAATAGCCCCACTTCCCGTTCAACTGCACATAACACTTAGCTTCCAGGATGCAGTGGATTCTCCACTCTGGAGCCCGAACCATACAATCTCAGCATCTTCCTGTCCATGTGTCTCTGGGTTTTGCCTTTTCTTCATTCCCTCCTGGTACAGGAGGACATGGCAATCTATACTGAACCATTTGAGTAGGTCAATGTTTTTTTAGTACCAAGTAGTACTCCATTGTACTGATATAGCACAATTTGCTTTTCATTCACCTGTTGACAGTCAATTCCTTCCAGACTTTGGCTGGGAAAAAAAAAAAAAAAAAAAAAACAAAAGAACAAAAAACAAAAAACAAAAAAACCAAAAGGCTGCTGCGTTAGTATTCAAATCTTTGTGTAATCGTATATTTGATCGTATATTTTAAATTCTCTTGGATAATAGTAAGAATGAAAGGGCTGAGTGTCTGGGTCAAGTTGTACACACATGTTTAGTTTAAGTAAGTATTTTTGAGAACACAATTCCTCTTGTAGATCCGAGCTCAGATGAAAACATTAAGTTTATGGGACTTCTGATTGTAAGGTTTTCTAGGCAGGGAGAAATCTTTTCTCATTCCTCTTTGGTTCACTTCCATATTTATTTACTCATCCTGTTTTTTTGGACATTAAATAATTTCAGTCACCTTCTCAAGCGGTATTCCTACCGGTCTGTTACCTTATTTTGTATCAGCTCTATACTAGATCCTAAGGGGCACTTAGGACCTTAGGTCAAAGGGCAGCAAAGGGGTGGTATAGTACCCTGCACAGCTATGGATTATGCTCCCAGAAAGTAAACAAGAACTCTTGAAGCTGCATTCCATTTGCTCCACTCACATGTTCTAGAAAAAGACCCCACCTTTGTTTGAGTGTGGGCTTTGGTTATTTATTTTAAATAGGTGTGGTCCTTAAATGGAGAGGAAGAACTATCTGAATTCTCCAACGGGGAGAAGGAAGAGAGAAATTGTTTTACTTTAATGCATATCTTGTCTTCCAAGCTGCGGTTTCCAAAAGTGGTAGGCACCGGCTTCCTGACAACACATTACAAATGCAAAGAACAGACTTGGAAACTCTGGGTTTAAGAGCTGTTTGAATAAGCCTCCAGGTGATCCCGATGCCCCCTTTTTAGAGAATCACCGTGCTAAACTCATTGCAGGGGTGCAGATCCTTATAATTGGGCTGGGTAAAGTGTGGGCAGCGGGGTGACGCCCTGCAGGGCTTGTCCACCTCCAATCCTTCCCAGCTCCAGCAAGCCTCCTTTCACCTGAACCCAAAGGTTCTCCCCTTGGTGCAGCAACTAAAACCCGGCAAGTGGATTCCAGGCGTGCGGGGGGGGGGGGGGAATGGAGCCGAGCATGCGCAGTGGCGGGAGCGCCGCGGTTAAGAGGCGGGCAAGAAGTAGCTGCGGCTGAGCGGACAAGAGGGCGCGGGCGTGGGCATCGCGGGCGGGAGCTGCCAGAAGGTCGCCGCAGGTACCGGGTGCTGGGACGCGCGCGCGGGCGAGGTCCGGGACAGGGAGGCTGTGCAGGAAAGCCAGGCTTGGCTTAGCGGCGCTCGGCGTGGGACTCAATTCCTCGCCCCAGGCGTCTCCTGCCCTGCGTGGGGGGGGGGGGAGTCTGGCACTCAGGTGTGAAGTCCCGAGTGTAGCTGCTTTACACCACTGCCTGGTGTAAAGCAGCCTCTTGATACTCTACATCTAGGAAGGGAGGGTACCAAGTTTTCAGTTTTAAACTTTGCGTGGTTGTTTGAGGAAGATTTCTGAGTCATTGTGTTTCTTTTAAGTTGTGTGACTGCCCTGCCTGTTTCTGGTGCATGGGCTGAAATAGGGGCAGAATGAAATTGCATCCGTGTTTGCTGGATTTGATGCCTTTCCTGGAGCTCTGGGGCCTCTGGATGCAGCATAAGAAAATGTCAGACTTCAGTGAAAGTCGGTGCCAAGAATTTTGTGCCGTTCAGCAAGCTGCATTGTAAAGTACAGGCTTTACAAATTAAAACAAAACACAAAAACATGTTTTCAACATTATTGCCCGCATTCCAAGTTTTCGTGGGTAATATCGAAGAGAAGATAACCCTTCCTGTTTTTTTACCTTTTCATGGCTTATAGGGACATCTGTTTTACCCTTAAAGCTGTGTATGTATGGGGCCAACACTGTATGGACACATTTCTTGGAGGACTGTAAAATCATAATTAAATTTTAAGATGAATACAGAGACTGGTGTTTTGGTCCCACAAAGGTGAAGCAAGGGCGTTTAATTACACCCCCACCTCTTGTAATCAACTCTTTAAACTTAATTCATTAGTGAAATTCTATAGGAAAGTGTTAAATTTGTGATGTGAGAGGCACATAATTGTAATAAGTTTAAGAAGCAAAGTTGAAGTTGAGGAATAAAAAACTGTAGAAAGAGACTGCAGGGCACTCCCTCTCCCCTCATTTTCCTGCCACGATGAATGTTTTAACGGCAGAAATAATATACAGTTGGTCTAGTTTGGTTCGGAGGGGCCTTCGAGGTCAGCCAGTTCAACTGCTTCAGTTTACAAAAGAGAAAGCTGAGACCAGGGAGGTTAGGTGACTATGCCCGAGCAAGCCCCTCTGGGCAAAGCTGGGCCTGGGAACCTTGTCTTCTGATTTCAGGGATCTTTTTACTTGGCCTCTCTGATCCTGTCCTGGGTGTTGGTTAGATGATTGAGCTTGCTTTCTCTTCCATCTTTTCCCGTGCAATCTGATCGAGGCACGAAGTTGTTTCTACTTTGCTTGTTCCTCATGCACTCGTTCAGAGACTCGACACTCCAACTTCACTTATGATTTGCTGGCCTTGGAAACCAAACCCTGTGCTCTTTCTTTGCTTGTTTGCATCCTTCTGTTTGAATTTATCACTCAGGCATAGCCTCTTCTTGGTAGTTTCCTTTGCTAGCAGCAGCCAAGACTAGCTTTCTCCTTCCCAAACCAGTAGTATTTTATGACTTCTGTCTGTGCTTCTGTTCTCCTCTTTGGATACAGCTTCTTGAATTGTATTTTAGAACATGTTCCTTGTTTTCTGGCCGGAAAGTTGTTAGGTGTGTAAGCTCCAGAAAGCATATGACTTAAAGATCCCACCCAGTACTAAGTTCAGACTCCTTCCAGCTGCTGTTTATGTGGGGAGGGGCACATGAAGGGATGTGGCCTGGATATTCTTCGATAGCAGAAAGGTCACCTTAGAACAGTACAAGAGATCAGTCAAGACAAAAAGCAAGTTGGAGTGATTTATGAATCCAGAAATCACAAACTGGTTGGGAGCGCTGGAGACGGAGTGAAAACAGAGTGTACTCTGGGAGTTGGAGTAACCAGAAATGCAGAGTGGAGAACGCAGATTTAGGAAATGGCAGGACTGGTTAAGAGCCCTGGCTGCTCTTCCAGAGGACCTTAGTTTGACTCCCAGAACCCATGTATCGGCTCACAAACACCTGTAACTCCAATTCTAAAGTATCCAATGGCTTCTTTTGACCTCCTCTGGCACCCAGCTTATACCTCGTACACAAACATAAATGCAGTTGAAACACTCATACACATAAAATAAATACTTTTAAAAAATGATGTAAAGGCCACATGTGATGCCCACCTGTAATCCCAGGACCCAGGACCCAGTAGACGGAGGCAGAAAAGATCTCTGCCAGTTTGAGGTCTATCTGGTCTACATAGCGAGTTTCAAGCCTGTTTCAAAACAAACAAATAAAAAACAAAACAAAACAAAACAAAAAACAAAAATAAATTATGTAAAATAAAAATGTGGTAAAAAATTAGATGGAGAGAAGGGAGAGGTATTGAAAATTCCTCTCTTAGAATTGGGGTGTTGGTAGTGGGTTTATAATATCTTTTGAATCTTGCAAGCACTTTAGATTGAAACATTGCTTTTCCGTGTCTTAGTGTTGTACTAGTCATATTTCTCATTCCAGAAGATGAACTCTTTGAGGGACAATCATATTACACTCCACCTTTACAATGATGACACTGCTTTGCATCAGATACTCAACTGTTATTGCATGGGTAAATATATTGTGTTTTGACATGAGGAAGATGGGGTAGTTAGGGCTACAAGCTACACAATAGTACTTTGTCTAGCCTATGATCTTATTGTATAAAGGAGGAACTCCTTGTGTCTGTGGAAGAAATGAGAGATACAGAATCAGAGGCCAATTTATAATCAGATGTATGGATTGTGAGTTGGGATGGGGGGGTTGGGTGAGCCTGGGAACCTTGGAGTTTGTATTTGTGGAAGTTGAAAGCAGTCTAGAAAGGTGTTTGCTGGCTTAGCTTACTTAGGGTGAAAGAAAAGCCGGTTAGCCTAGAGTCTTTGGACAGTGTTCTGCTCTTAGGATACTCCACTGTGCGAGAACCATGATCTCAGAGAGAGGAATCCTGGAGTGGTCCTTTTGTCCCAGCAATATGGGGCAGGGTGAGAGAGAACATGACAAAAGTGTCACCAGACTCTCCCGAGAAAAATAAACCCTAAATAAACCTAAATTCTAGTTGAAGAAGTGTTTGGAATGCCTTGGGACAGATGTTGCAAATGGCTGTTTTGCAAATCAGAACACACTCTTTCTGTTGAGCTACACACAACACTGAGGAAACTGTTGGAAGGCACATTCTTGCCCTTGACATTCATGGCATGATCCATCTCTCTCGTTTTGAACAGGCAGTGAGAGCTGTTCTCATAAAAATGGCAAAGAGAGAGACAACTGTTGGGGGACAGGCCAGAAGCGCTTTTGGTGGTTAGCAGCAGGTAAATGAAGGGTTGGCCTAGCCATTGGAGGTTATCAGGCCGAGGAGGTGGGCCAATTGGCAGAGCACTCACCTAGTGTGCACCACGTTTAGGATTTGATCCCGTCACTCCATAAACTGGGTGTGGAGCTGTAGCCCTGCAATCCCAGCACTCAGGAAGCAGAGGCCAGAAACCCTACTGGGGATAGGGAGGAGAAACTTAAATTTTATTTTTCTCTCTAGACAGGATTTCTCGTGTAACAGCCCTGGCTGTCCTGGAACTGGATTTGTAGACCAGGCTAGCCTTGAACTCATTGAGGTCCACCTGCCTCTGCCTCCTAAGTGCTGGGATTAAAGGTGTTTGCCACCATCGCTTGGCTAAGAAGCTTTTTAGTTTTTAAAGGAACCATATTAGAGGTTGGGCCATGATGGTACATGCTTTTAGTCCTAGCACTCGGGAGGCAGAGGCAGGCAGATCTCTCAGTTCGAGGTCAGCCTGGTCTACTGAGTGAGCTCTGCATCAGCCAGGACTACACAGAGAAACTCTGTCTCAGAAACAAAACAAAACAAACAAATCATTCAGTATGTTTGAATTGATGTTCCATGTATTTAAATATGTCCAAGTAGTAAATATAATTTTACGTGGTAAGTTAGAATTTAAGATGTAAGATATATAGCTTTTTCAAAATCATCATAATACTCTATTAGTATTTAGTTTTATTGTTTTTTCTAAACACCAGACAACATTTAACCTTTTACAAAGCATCCTTTGAGGTAAATGCAATTATTACCCTCATTTTACATATGAGAAAACTGAAACTTAGATTATTAAAAATTATCTGTGTGAGGCCACACTGTCAGCATGTGACTGAGCTGAGATTTGACCCCAGGACGGCCTGACTTCAAGCCCTGAGAGCTCAAACAATCAAATGTCTTTATCTGTGGGTACTCTAACCGGTGCTTAGAGTGGCCAAAGGCCATGACTTTCAATAGTCCATGAGTAAAACTTCAGCTTGAGAAAGCAAACAATAGTAATGGATCCTTCTGATATTTATTTTTGTTCCACTTAGCCTTTTATCACTTTTGCTTTGGAGCATTCCTAGAGACAGGAGACAGCAGTCTTTTTTCTGGATGGAACATTAAAAGAGTTTCTGTTTTGAATGGCTGTGGCTTTCTTTTGGGTAGTGCAGGGTGAGGGTGGTAATCCATACAGTGCCTCTGGAGTGGCAGGTAAGACATGACCTGTGTGAGAACGTAGCAACTTTGGGTGATGAAGCTTTGTAAGGGTTTTTCTTTTCCGACAATCCTGTTCTTGAAGCTTCTGAATTATGTGTGGGTCTTAGTTTCAGGCCTAAGGATTGTGTTCATAAACGTCTAGGGAAATTCCTTACACAAAGAGGGTCTCTGTGCATCCCCAAGATTGAAGGGCTGGAGAAATGGCTCAGAGGTTAAGAGCAGTGACTGCTCTCCCAGAGGACTCTGGTTCCATTCCCAGAATGCACATGGCAGCTCACTACTGTCTGTATGTAACTCCAGTTCCAGGAGATCTGAAGCCTTCTTCTGACCCCCTCTGGCATCAGGCATGTAATTCAAGTGGTACACAGACCAGATGTATGTGTAGGTAACACCACTCCCCCCCCCCCACATACAGAGAGGGAGAAGATTGGAGAGTGTGTTGAGTCAGCAGTTGGGGTGGGGTGTCAGTGTTTGGGGAAAGGTAATCTATAGCCCCTGTT